TGGGTGTGAACGAGTTGATTTGGATTGATTTTAGTAGGAAATGAGACACTTAGTCTCTTTAAGGAAGGTCTGTTTTGGAAAAAGTCAACCGGACGTTGACTTATGTGTTAGAGGGTTCGGATATGAATTCCGATGATTCGATTAGCTTCGGGGGATGAATTGTGACTTAGGAGGGTGATCGGAAGTAATTTTGGAGGTCCGGTGTAGAATTAGGCTTGAATTGGCAAAGTTAGAATTTTGGCGAATTCCGGTTGATAGGTGAGATTTTGATTCGAGGGTCGGAATAGAATTCCGAGAGTTGTAGTAGCTTCGTTAGGTGATTTGGGATGTGTGTGCAAAATTTCAGGTCATTCAGAGGTGTTTTGGTTGGGTTTTTAATCGAATGCGTGTGTCGGAAGTTTTGGAAGAACTTAGGCTTGAATTCGATGAGAAATGATGGTTTTAGTGTTGTTTGAGGTGTTTTTATGATTGGAAAAAGTTTGAATGATGTTATAGGAGGTGTTGGTACTTTTGGCTGAGGTCCCGGGGGCCTCGAGGTGATTTCGGATGGTCAACGGGAAGTTTTGGTTTGAGAACTTAAGAAAATTGCAGTTGCTTCTGGTATTTTCGCTTCTGCGGAAATTGGACCGCAGAAGCGAGGTGTTAGCCGCAGAAGCAGCAGGGATCGCAAAAGCGGATTGGCTGACCGCATCTGCGGAGTCGCAGATGCGACAAAGCAACCGCAGATGCGGAGTTTGGTGATCTTAAAGGAATCCGCTAATGCAGAGCTCGATCCGCAGAAGCGGTGGCCGCAGGTGCGGATTGGTGACCGCAGAAGCGGTTTAATCCGCAGAAGCGACACTTAACCGCAAAAGCGGAAGTCGTAGATGCGGCTAAGGAGCCGCATATGCGGCAATAACCGATCAGTGGTGTTTTATTTCTCCTTCGCGAAATTTCAAAGGGTTCCATAATTTTCACTTCGGACTTGGAGAATTTGGGCGAGTTGGAAGAGAGAAATCAAGGGACTTCATTGAGGTAAGGATTTCTGAGTCTAAAACACGATTTTATGGTGCAAATACATGAATTAAGACTGGAAAATTAAGGAATCAAGGGTAAAAAATGGTGATTAGGGCTTGAAACTTAAGAGAGTTAAAATGGGGATTTGAGGGGTCATTTGGACTCCGATTTTGGTGTTCTTTATATGTATAGACTCGTGGAGAGATAAGGAATCCGTTGATGGTAAATTTTCTGATTTTCGAAAAGTGGGCCCGGGGCTCGGGTTTTGCTAATTTCGAGATTTTAGCTATTTTTCGATTATTTCCGATTGGGTATTGTCCCATTAGCATATTGTGATGTATTCGTTGTGGTTTTGATAAGATTCGGTACACGAGGAGGTCAATTCGAAAGGCAAGGGCATAGCGAGCTAGGACTTTGGTCGGCTTGAGGTGAGTAATAGATGTAAATGCTGTTCTGAGGGTTTGAAACCCCATGTTTGCACATCGTAATGCTATATTGAGGTGACTTGCACGCCGAGTAGCGAGCGTGGGTAGAGCACCATTAGGGATTGTGACTTGGTCCGTCCCGGTAGATGAATACTGCGTATTTGACTGAAATTCACCTAATATCATTTTAATTGAGCTAATTGCTATGTTTGGGCTTCGTGCCAATTGATTAAATCCTTCAGGGATTATTATTACCGGTTTCTTACCATTTTTACATATCATTGAACTCAGTCCTAGTGTTTAATAATGTTTTGCAAATTCAGCCATTTTTTCTCAAACTAGAAACTTAATCAATATTTTTAAATGAAGTTTGGGCTGAATATTTCTATATTATTGTGCCCGAGAGGCTTATGTGATTTTGGACTGAGTATGGGATCGGGCTGCACGCCGCAGCGGTATGATACTGATATTGATATGAGGCCGAGAGCCTAGTTGATGCCACGAGATGACTTATTATTGCGCTTGGGCCGTAAGGGGCCCCTCCCGGAGTCTGTACACCCTCAGTGAGCGCCGTCGACGATAAATAAATGGAGCGGGCTGCACGCCGCAGCAGGTACTGGAGAGTATCGGTCTATGTGTTGCATTGCATATTACTAATTGTCATTTATTTACTTATCTACTGTGATATTTCTATAATTGTTTTCACTGTTTTACTGGATTTTATGTTGCTGGGTTCAAGTTACTGTATTTATAGAATTACTTTGTGCCTATTCAGGATTTCTTATTCTCAGTCTTTATTTATGTTTATTACTCACTGGGTCGGAGTACTCACATTACTCCCTGCACCTTGCGTGCAGATCCAGGTACTACTGAGGCTGAGTGAGGACTTCTCTGCTTAGCATCTTATCCGGGAGTATCAAGGCAGCTGCACTTGACGTCCGCAGTCCTGATCTTCTCTCCGTCTTATTTGTCTTATTTCCGCGTTTCTAGAGACTATATGTAGTAGGTTGATACTCTTGTGTTAGAGGCTCAGACTTGTGACACCGAATTCTTCGGGCTGTGTAATTGCTTTATTACTTGGGATTCCACATATTTTACTTTATTTCAGATATTCAGTATGGTGACTTAGTAATTCATCCATGTTAAATAAATTCATGAGTTGTAAAATGGTCAAGGTTATTGAATTGGTCGGGCTTGCCTAGCAATGTGTTGGGCGCCATCACGACCGGGGTTGGGGTCGTGACAGAGTTCTACCATGTATTGGTATTGTTCTAGGTTAACAGATGCGGATTCAGGATTTAAACTCTATAGGTTCAACTTCTAAGTTAAATAGCATTGAACCCATTATATTTTTAAAGTTATTGGTTCATATATACTATTTTTGCACATAGATTTTTACTACACGTTGAAAGTTATGGGTTCAATTTCAATTGAACCCGTCCCTAACACCCTATATCCGCCCATCTGGGTACATGTTGTCATATGGGAAGTGTTTGACCAAAAAAGTGTGAGACCTTTTTGTTAAACTAATTAAATAAGAAGATAGAGGGAAAATCCTAGTTAAGGATAATTAATTCTAGATCTGAGATGAATAATATGAATAGGAAAATATAGTTGAGTATAAATGCTGGCGGTGATTATGGCCATATTTAATAATATGAAAAAAGATGCATTAAGTAACATCAAATGGCAATAAAATGTAAATACAGGAAAAGATTCACCCAATCTTGAGTGATGCGGATCCTCTTTCATTTGATAAAGATGATTGATAGACAAATACAAGAATCTTAGGGTCTGATGGAGGGTATGGGATAACAGATAATCTAATCTCTTTAGAGAGATGTGATTATATATTTTCTAGAGAGAGAGTCTGACTGAGAAGTCCTCTCTTCCTATAGAAAACCCTAAAAAGTACAATTAGAGGGAATATCCAGTAGAATATTCCCTTTGAAGATTCCAAAGCAAAACTAGTTGCTACATCTATCTGCACTGCTCGCCTCGGCCTTATTGATCGCTGCTCGACCTCGACCTTATTGATCACTTCGATTCGCAGGTTACTCATGACAAGTGTCTCTGCATGCCGAATTTCTCCGATTTGATTTTGACCCATACAAGAAGTAGGCTGTTATGCCTTCTAATTGGGTTTTGACCCATACAAGTGTCTCCGCACAAGATTCACCCACTTGTGCAAAGTAATTTTTTTTTTCTTTCAAAATTTCAGAATTCTATTCTTTTCTATTAGCTTAAAAATGTGATATATGTGCATCAGTCGTCCATTTGGTTGATATAAAATTATTAAAATAACTTATAAGCAAGAAAAGAGAAACACAAAAGAAATCAAAATGTAGAGTGAATGTACTGAAAAGGAATCAGTTCTTAACCTAGCAAATATGAGTTGAATTTAAATAAAGAAGTGAGCCACTCATATAGCATCTGACAATTTTTCTTCTATTTCAAATTAGTTTATTCAAGAAACATTCTTTTGTGTATTTCTTTTATTTGGGGGTAAAATGTATAGAGGGGTATCTAATTTTAAAATAGAGAGTTGGGTCGAAGACTATGAATCGCAATCAATAATGCAACTTATAATCACAATAGCAAATGTAACGTATAAATCGCAAGTTATAATTGTAAGAATGTGGCATACAAATAAAGAAATCACATATTGCGACTTATAAATCGTAATAACAGAATGCGACTTATAAATTGCAATCAGGAATGCAACTTATAAATCACAATTATAGAATATGACTTTTATAAATCGCAATTACAAAACGCGACTTGTTATCTCAATTGTTGAATACCACTTATAAATTGCTTTATGCATTTGTAATCCCAATTCCCAATTGACTTATAAATTGCAATTGGGTTTGACTTCTAAATCGCAATTGTAAATCGTATTTAAGAAATGCTACTTTTAAATCGCAATTGGATAAATTACAATTAAGCAATGCGACTTGCAAATCTGTAATGCGACCTATTTTTTGAAAATCTTATTTGTTCATGAACTTCACCAGTTGTTGAAAAAAAATTGAAGAAAAATTTTCAAGTTAAAAAAACTGGTTTGGGCCAGTTTTTGGGTGAAAATATTTCTCCTACTCGAAAAATTTCAACTTTTTTTCCCACGTAAAATCCATATCCAAACATAACTTCAATTTCTAAAAACTATTTTTCAACACAAAAAAAAGTCTCTTGCAGAAATGCAGGGTAAGACTGCGTACGATAGACCCTTGCGGTCCGGCTCTTCCCCGGATCCCGCGCATAGCGGGAACTTAGTGCACCGGGCTGCTCTTTATTTTTCAACACAACTTTTAAAACTTTTTTTTTTTTTAAAATTTAAACCAAATACATGTCCAAACGCTAACTAAGTGATATGTTCTCCTGTACAAATTTTTAATTACAAAAATTAAGTTTCTTGATTTACTAGTGTAAACAAGTATTAATCCTTCTTGTGATGGATTGATAAATATCAATCAAGTCGTTTGATGCCATCACCAAAACAATAAATGCGACAACAAGACAACTTGTGATGTATTATAACGTTAGTGTCATGTTCTCTCCTATTTAAAGACAACCTCATCAACTAGCCGTTACATTCTTACATATTCAAACTTTCTCCCTCTCTCTCTGCAAATTTACTTTCTCTCTCTCCAAATCCAGGAAGCTCAAATGACAATCTCAGTAGAATCTTCGTCTCCTGCTTCACTTAACAAGGTTCTTGATTCTCCTCTTTCAAACACAACATTAAAGATTTCAACTTTAGATTCTTTTTTTCTGTACTACCCCTTTTGTTTTATTAATTTTCAGTATAATAAATTAACCAGAAAAAAAAAAAAAACTCAAATTTTCCACCATTTGATTTTCAGGGATCATCAAGTTTGATGGGTTCTTCACCAATTTACAGTCCATCTTCAGATAAACGTTTTTGGAGTACTCTACGCAGTAGAATTGATACTCTTCTTGAAAATCGACCCCTTATTGATTTTCCCCTCCCTGCTCAAAAGGTAATTAACTAGTAATATTTTGTATTATCAGTGAAATTTAACCTGTGATAGCATGTTAGTTACCTAGGAAATGACCTGATTATGTAAATATCTTTATACCGTCAGAGCATAGTATTTAAACTCTTTAATTTTTTTGGGGGTCTTAATTGGTCCATGTTTTAAAAAAAGAAAAAAAAAACTTTTTTTGGGGTCTTGATTTTTGTTTAATTTTGTGTGAAAATGGTTGCTGGAAAGGGAGCCTTGGCGGCGTAACTGGTAAAGTTGCTGTCATGTGAATAGGAGGTCACGGTTCGAGCCGTGGAAACAACCTCTCGTAGAAATGCAGGGTAAGGCTACATACAATAGACCCTTGTGGTCCGACCCTTTTCCGGACCCCGCGCATAGCGGGAGCTTAGTGCACCGAGCTGCCTTTTTTTTGTGTGAAAATGGTTGTCGTAGAATGATGGAGCAGCAGAGGATTTTGTATGCTATCAGTGAATTTTAACCTGTGATAGTACGTTAATTACCTAGGAAGTGACCTGATTGTGTAAATATCTTTACACCGTTAATGCATTTAATTTAAACTTTTTTTGTGTTTCATTTTTTAATTGGTAAATGTTTATTTTTTGAATTTTTTTTGGGGTCTTAATTTTTGTTTAATTTTGTGTGAAAATGGTTGTTGTAGAGTGATGGAGCAGCAGAGGATAAATCAAAGAGAATGAAGGAGGATGCTATGCTTTTACTAAGAGGATTTGATTCTGTTTCTTACACTCTTTCAGAGTTATCTAACAATCTTGAAAATGCCCTTCAGGTATATATATATCCCTTGTTTTAATATATGATTAAAGGTTATATAGGACTAATTGTGTGAGTTTTTTAAAGGAAGTTTTGGCCTGTGAAATTAAGGTTTTATCTCAAGTTGACCCTTGTAGTCCGCTCCTTTCCAGTGACGAAGCCAAGAATTTCATCTAGGGTGTTCAAACTTGAAAGAAGTAAAAAAAATCTATGATATAGGGCGTTCAATATATGTTATACACCACTAAAATCTAATATTTTACCTATATATACCGTGTAATTTTTTAATGAAGGGTGGTCAATTGAGGCTACATAGTGCAGCCCCTGCTCCTTCCCCGGACCCTGCGCATAGCAGGAGCTTAGTGCACTAGGCTGCTCTTTTTAATTGCTAATGAGAATGAAAGAATTACCATCTATCTTGTTTGTCATTAACCAGAAGTTGCTCATAGTGTCAAGCATATGTAAGTTTTAAAAGCTGTACAGTGTAACTTTAAAGCAAATTCAGGATTTAAAATCAGTGTATTTGAAACCCTCTAAGTGTAGTCTATTTAATAATGTTAAAAAAAAAATTCTCTATTCATATATATTGTTGATATAGGATTTATTGGGTGATTTTTCAAAGGCGTTTTTGTTTTAAGTATGATATTATTTTCTGGTAAGTTGCTCATAAATACTGTTAAGCATTAGGTATTCTTTTATAGTTCTGCAATATAACTTTTGAGGCATAACAGTTTGGCAATATTTTGTTGAAGTTGAAAAATCGCGTATTTGAAGTTGAAAAATAGTATTTGGAAGTGAATGTACCTCGTAACATAGTTGAAAAAGAATATTCAGAAATTGAAAGTTGTGTTTGCACATGCATACATTGTTTGAAAACCTGGAAATAAACGTCGAGCTAGTGATCATGTGTACTGTATATATATTCATACAGGGAGCGAGAGATCTAGCGAAACCGCCCACATTAACAGATATACTTCATTACACAATGGAGAAGGCAAAAAGTGGAGAAAACCAATCAAAGGAAGGTAAAGATGAAGGAGATGAACAAAAGAAAAAGGGTGAAGAAAGCAACAAAGGATTGAAGAGGAAATTGGATGATTGCTCAGAGGATTCACAACAAGATGATGATACCAAAAAAGAAAATGGACAGGTCACAAAAGAGCTGGGAAAGTTCAAGAAAGCCAAAAATGTTTGTACCCCTTCATTCCTTTTTCTTGTGTTCTATTGCTTGTTTCTACAATTTCTTTCCTTCCTTCCTGAGCCGAGGGTCTATCGGAAATAGCCTCTATCCTCTCAAGGTAGGGGTAAGGTCTGCGTACACTACCCTCGCAAGACCCCAACAGTGGGACTTCACTGGGTTTGTTGTGTAAGGTCTGCGTACACACTATCCTCCTCAGACCCCACTTGTGGGACTTCACTAGGTTGTTGTGTAAGGTCTGCGTACACACTATCCTCCTCAAACCCTACTTGCGGGACTTCACTAGGTTGTTGCTGTTGTCGTTGTTGTTTTCTCCAAGAATGATTATAGTTACTTTTGCTGCATTTGTGTTTGCCGACTCCAACCTGTTTAAGACTGAGGCATAGATGTTGTTGTTGTTGTTGCTGCACTTTATGTTTAAGTGCTAACTAGATATTATCTCTCTGAAGCTTGCAATTTCCATGGCATCAAAAGCAGCAACATTAGCTCGAGAACTGAAATCAATAAGATCAGACTTACGCTTTATGCAAGAACGTTCTGCCCTTTTAGAGGAGGAGAATAGAAGACTTCGCGATGGCTTTGACAAAGGGATACCACCAGAAGAAGATGACCTGGTAATGACACTTGACATCCTCACTCAAGTTGTTTACTACTTGAATCGTGATATAGATTTAAGTTATATAAACTGACAGTATAATATATCATATCATAGACGACATTGAGTAATAATACTACTTGAACCGTGACACTGAAATTGTTTACTACATGAACCATGACTCAATGTAGAATAGATTTATGTTATATGAACTGATACTATAATCAGGGACGAGTGGTCAATTCTTCGAAAAATTACACTGCATATATAGTTAAAATACTAGATTTTAGAGGTATATAACATATACTGAACACCATTAAGCTCATGTCTTAAAGGATAGTCAATTCGTCGGAACATTACATTCCGTATGTGGTTAAAATATTATGTTTTAGAGGTATATAACATATGCTGAATACCCTTTGTCGGGGAGAACCTTTTACACTTATTTCAAATTTAAACGCCCTTGAAAAATTCCTGACTTTGCCATTGAGTATAATATGGTAGATAACATAGAGCAATGCTATATGAACCGTGACACTCAAATGGTTTACTACTTGAACCATGACAGAATGTAAAATAGATTAAAGTTATATAAACTATCAGTATATGTATCTCATACACTAGACAAGAATAGTCATGATCAACCTTGTTTTAAATTTCAAGTACAATCGCTTGAATTGTGACTCAAAATAGATATCTGCAAAATGTCTGCATTTAATCTACTCCTTTTACTTTGCTTAGGTGAGGCTTCAAATGGAGGCACTTCTTACTGAAAAATCAAGACTTGCAAATGAAAATGCAAACTTGAATAGGGAGAACCAATGCCTTAGACATCTTGTTGAGTACCACCAGTTGACCTCACAAGATCTCTCTGCATCCTATGAAGATCTACTAAGAGGAATGGGTTTGGACATTTCTCCAGAGGAGGATACCGAGACAAATGGCGGATCCGGGGCACGACAGAAAGATATATACGGTATTTCCAAATCACTAGATGAGATCTATGATGAAGAATGAAGAAACAATGATAAAGTATAAACCTGTTTTACAATCAATGTAGTAATCCGCCTATATCGAGAATATTGTAAAATTTTGTAGCCCATATTGCAAGTTTTTTTCTATAATGAAAGACAACAATTATGTTGTTCATCCTCCAATCTTCATCCCAACAACACCTCCATTCATCAAGTAAAGCTGTACTCCTCTTAGAGTAGAAGCATCGATGCAGAGGCTGACGCGCAACCATATTGAATGGGTTCAACTGAACCTAGTATTTTCGGCACTGATCATAGAGATATAATTTCAAAAGTACATTGTATAGTGGTAAGCTGAATCCATCGGGTTTAAATTCTAGATCTACATCTGTGACGCAGAGGCAAATGCAGCCATATTGAATGGGTTCAACTGAACCTAATATTTTCGACACTAATCTTAGAGATATAATTTAAAAAATACATTGTGTAGTGGTAAGATGAATCCGTCAAGTTTAAATTCTAAATCTACATCTATCTCGATGACAGTTGGCTATCTTTGCGATAAATAATCACTACATTAGGTACTCTCAACCCTTCAAAATTCCAAGAATGAAGAATATGAAATGCTCAAATTAAAGATAAAAATGGGCCAGGACAAGGAGACTAGAGGACTTACATTGTAGCAGCCTCTATGTAAAGATGTTACCATACAGGAAAACTTGTCATAATTCTTGAAAATGGATAAATTGTGGGAGTTGGACCATGGATATTTTAGATTGCATGGACCGCAAAGGGCAGCTTGGTGCATGAAGCATCCTATATTCATGCAGGTTCCGGGGAAAAGTCGCACCCCAAGGGATGTGATGTAGGCAGGCTAACCTGATGCAAGCATCAACGGCTAATTCCACGGCTCGAACCTGTGACCTATAGGTCACAGGGAGACCATAGGTCACAGGGAGACCAGCCAAACCTTCAAAATCTAAGTAATGGAGAATAATTATAAAATGTGGCCAATCAAGAAGACTAAGATGACTTCAATTGTAGAAGCTATGTAAAATGCATACCCAAGATGTTTATATATATATATATTTCTCATTTCATTGATACTCTAATGGAGTTTGCAAATGAGCTGTAATCTCTAACCTGTTGGAGTATACTGTTTTCTCTTTCACGAGTGCCAATGTTGTTCCACGGGAAGTGGATTAGAAAAGAATCTAAAGTTAACATTGTCAGGTTTAAGAACTAAAATGGGATTTTACACAAATAGCCGGTCATATTTTAATTAAATATTTTTTCTATGTGATGACCCAAAAGGTTATCTTATGTTTTAGAACTCGATTTTGCGCTCTTAAGCCTTTAAAGTCTCATTTTTACCCTCCTCGATTTGCATGCACAGTCCGGACGTGTTTCCGGAAAGCTTTATGTTGAAAGTTGATGTAAATAATAATTTTTGCCTTAAAAGTTGATTTTAGTTGACTTCGGTCAACGTTTTGAGTAAACGGATCCGGACCCGTATTTTGACGGTCCCGGTGGGTTCTTAATAAAATATGGGACCTAGGCGTATGCCCGGAATCGAACTTCGAGGTCCGTAGCTCGAGATATGAATTTTTGTTAAAAATTGAAAGACTGGAAATTTAATGGTTTTAAGAATTTGGTTAATGTTTGATCTGGTTGGTATCAGGTCCGTATTTTGGTTCCGGAGCCCGGTACAGGTTCATTAAGATATTTAAGACTTGTCTACGAAATTTGGTGAGAAACGAAGTTGGTTTGACGTGATTCGGACATCCGGTTGTGAAATAGAGGTTTTAAAGCTTTCTTGAAAATTTCATTCGATTTGGTGCTAAATTCGTAGTTCTAGATGTTATTTTGGTGATTTGATCGCGCGAGCAAGTTCATATGATGTTTTAGAACTTGTGTGCATGTTTGGTTTGGAACCCCGATGGCTCGGGTGCGTTTCGGATAGGCTACGGGATATTTAGAACTTAGAAAATCTGGTTTTAGTGCTTCAGCTGTCATCTGTTGTCTTCTTCTCCGCGTTCGCGAATGAACTCTCGCGAACGCGAAGAGTGAACTGGAGTTGTGTGAAATTTTTTTCTTTACGAACGCGAAGGCTAGGTCGCGAACGCGGAGCAACGGGAGCATTACCCTTCGCGAAGGCGATCAGCCTACCGCGAACGCGAAGGCCTGGGATCTTGGGGAGGGGAAGTGACCTATACTCTTCGCAAACGCGTAGGCTGGTGGGAATAAGCCTTCGTGAATGCGAAGAGTATCTCGCGGACGCGTAGGCTAATTGAGCCGCTGCTTCGCGATCGCGGCAAGCCCTTCGCGAACGCGAAGAAGGCCTGACGCCTGTGACTTAAAACAGAACAGTGACGGGATTTTTCCCAAAATTTCATAACTCTTTCATTAGAACTCGACCTAGGAGCGATTTTGAAGGGAAAATTCAAGACTAAATCATAGATTTGTACTCTTTAACTCATTTTCTTTCATTACTAACATCACCCATTGAATTCCTAGCCCTCTTTGTTCTTTCATAGTAGAAACTAGGGATTTTGGAAGAATTGGGGATTTAGACCTCAATTTGAGGTCGGAGTCCAAAACCAATTGTATATCCGGGCTCGGGGGTGAATGGGTAAATGAATTTTGGTCCGAATCTCAAGTTTTGACCAAACGGGCCCGGGGTCGATTTTTGACTTTTTGGAGGAAAGTTTGAGAAATCTAAATTTATGCATTGTAGTTGATTCCTTTAGCAATAATTGATGTTATTGAGTTAATTGTGGCTAGATACGAGTGGTTTGGAGGTGGATACTAGAGGAAAAGCGGTAATTGAGCATTGAGTGGCTCGCGGAGCGAGGTAAGTATCGTGTCTAACTTTGACTCGAGGGATTAGGAATCCTTGACTTATTTGCTATATGAAATCCATGTGAGCGGTGTATAGGTGAGGTGACGAGTACGTATGCGCCGCCAATTTATCTGTTTTGCCTGTTTTCTTCCCGTTCTTCTTATATTGTCTTTTTCTGCCTTAACTGCTATATGCTTTACTTGTATTTCTATGCCTAATTGCTACTTGTTAGACATTGTATCTCTTTGTTGAAAGTATTTGTTCTTTCGTAGTTTTATTGTCTCCTATTATTTGTTTGAGCTGGTTATTGGTACTTTCAAGCCATATTATGGATTGGTCTTGCTGAGTAGTATTGTGTAAAGTCTCATAGTGTATAATCTTCCTAAATGTTTTGGTTTGAAGTAGAGCCTTGTGAAGAGTTATGTGATTTGAATTGTGTAATTTCTGTACTTGCTGAGTAAATGATATTGATATGGTGGGATCGGGTTGCGCGCCGCAACAGGTAGAATAAGGGTAATATATTGAGGAGGAATAAGGGTGAAATGCTATGTACGGTGGGATCGGGTTGCACACCGCAGCAGGTGTAATAAGGGTGGATTGTGGTGAAATAAGGGTGAACTGTGATTGTGATTATTGTGATATGGTGGGATCGGGTTGCACGCCGCAACAACCTTTATGCTTATATTTTTCCTTGACTGTGTTAGTTGAACGGTAGTCTTAAACTGCACTTAAGGATTGGTAATAGTTGAGCACTGATGATATGCTTCGAGAACTGTATTCATTCCTTACAAGTTACTACTCTATTTTATCCTGTCTTTCTTTCTGCTTTTATTATACACTGTATGCAGGTTACATTGTGATTGCTCCGCCGTAGCCTCTTCATTACCTCGTCGAGGTTAGGCTCGGCACTTACCAGTACATGGGGTCGGTTGTACTGATACTGCACTCTGCACTTCCTGTGCAGATTTTGGAGCAGGTTCGTGCTGATCGAGAGGTTGGCTGTAGGTTTCACTTGCTTGGATACCAAGGTAGTCATGTTGGCATCCGCAGGCCCTGGCGTCCCCTTCTATACCCCATACTTTGCTGTTTTCCTCATTTCGTAAACAGTTGTATTTTCTTTCGGACAAATGCTTGTAGTAAAATTTTAGAATGTTCGTGAATTGTGACTCCGGATTCTGGGTAGTAATAGTATATAATCAAAGTGGCTATTTATTTACTTCCGTATTCATTTCGACTTGTTTTAGCTTATTTATTGTTAATAACCGAGACGTAAAGGAATTGACTAATAAAACTCTAACGTTGATGTTAGGCGCCATCACGGTCCCGATGGTGGGGATTCTGGGTCGTGACATCCTAGCCGATATACACTGATTATACATAGTTATACAAATATTATATAACCGCCCGCTATTTTTGGTTTAAGCAATTAGGTAACGCAGAATTAGACTATAATGCAGGGACTAAAATCGCTAATTTTTTATAATATAAATATAATTAGTAAGCTAAAAGCCCAAAATAATGAAGTATTAATTTGTAGAATAAGCTAGTAAGGCCGGCTAACGACTTAAATATTATTTTCTTCAATCTTTTTCCTCTTCAATCATTTTATAAAATCACAAATGATATGTTTGTAAACAGGATTCATGTTTTTGGAAGTCAATAAAATTCATGTTTTAAAATAAGTGAGCCAAGCTAAGGTGTATGATATGTTCATGGCATCCCATTATCTCAAGACCTTAGTGGAACAGCATTAACCAAAAAAAGAGGAAAATCTCCGATGTGTTTTGGATTATTTTTTAAGCATTCAAATAATTAAGCCACCTTCTTAATTAGGTTATATAAACTTCTAGTTACTACATTCACAAATACACAAGAAAAAGAAAAAATAATCATCTAGCCTTAGAATTCAAATCTTCTCAATGGGAAGCCAAATGAAGAAACAAATGCCTCAATTTGTTTGTGCTTTGGCATTTTTCTTGATTGCAACCTGCACTATGGCATATTCACCATATTCTTATAAACCACCTGTTTCAACATACAATAAATTCCCAAACCCAAAAGATAGCTACTATAAAGCATCCTCAGTGCCTAAACAGGTATACAAGGTGCCATCTTTGTCAAAGAATGACTACTACAAGAAGCTATCTGTTCCAGAATATAACTACAAGAAGATGCCATCTCTTCCAAAAGATAACTAGCTACTACAAGGTACCTTCAATGCCTAAACAGGAATACAAAATGTCATCTTTGCCAAAGAATGACTACTACAAGAAGCCATCTGTTCCAGAATATAACTATAAAAAGATGCCATCTCTTCCAAAAGATAACTACTACAA